TTGTATCAGACCAGATTACCTGGGAAGCTTTGAAAACCCACAGAGGAAAGCTTGTTTTCTCTGTAAGCGCATCGCTAGTGGCCATGCTTCCAGCTGCCCTATTGGGTAACTCAGGCAGGGAGCCAGTGCAAGCCCAGTGACTACAGGGTGAAGCTGGGTTGGCAGCAGGTGTGGCTGAAGCTTCAGCTGAATCCTCTTGGGGATGTGCTTGGCCTTTATCACAAAGCTGTCCCTCCTTCCTGGAAACACACAGAAAGGACCTATGGGACCCCTAGAAACTTCCAAGCTATCTGAAGTGATTCAGTTCTCCTTTTACAGTACCAATCCCTTCTCCAGCCTCACTTTCAGAGCAGATACAGAATTTTTATTTTCTCAGTTCCACAGGGCAGGTCATAATACAACCTGTTAATGTGTCCCAACTACCTCAGTACCATTTTGGGAACATTCAATCTATCAACAAGTGCCCTTGGGGCTCACAAACCTATTAAAGAGTAAACTGATTCCCTGGACTCTCTAGACACAGGGCAATGGTTCGCATCTAAAGGCAGAGTGATCTGGGACCTGTCCCACCTCCTAGCCTTCCAAAGAGGGATATTGTAGCCTCAGGGAACATTTTATTTTATTTTTCAATTACAGATTACACTCAATATTCTTTTGTATTAGTTTCATGTGTACAGCACAGTGGTTGGGCAACCCTATAGTTCACAAAGTGATCTCCCTGTTATTCGAGTACCCACCTGGCATCACAGTTATTACAACATCATTGACTATATCCCCTATGCTGTACTTTACACCCCTGCGACTATTTTGTAATTACCAATTTGTACTTAACCCCTTCACCTTTTTTCACCCAGCATCAGGGAACATATTAGAGTCAAGCATAGAGAATCGGCTTTGGAGTCAGCTCTGGATTCAAGCCCTAGATGTGCCAATTAGAGCTGTGTGAACTTGGGATATGTTCCTTAATCTCCGAATCAGGGATTAGAATGGTCTGCACCTCTTAGGAATGTTGTGAGGATTAAATGAGAGACCATCTGCCATCTGTATGTCCTCTTTAGAGAAGTGTCTATTCAAGTCTTTTGCCCATTTTTAATTGGTTTGTTTTGGGGGGTTTTTTGGTGTTGAGTTTGTTTGTTTTTTAATATATTTTATTGGTTTTTTTACAGAGAGGAAGGGAGAGGGACAGAGAGTCAGAAACATCGATGACAGAGAAACATCGACCAGCCGCCTCCTGCACACTTCCCACTGGGGATGAGCCCGCAACCAAGGCACATGCCCCCGACAGCAATTGAAGCCGGGACCTCTCAGTCCGCAGGCCAATGCGCCATCCAGTGACCCAAACCGGTCAGGGCGGTGTTGAGTTTTATAAATCTTCATAAATTTTGGATATTAACCACTTATCAGATGTATCGGTGAATATGTTCTCTCATTAAGTGGGTTGTCTTTTGTTGATGGCTTCCTTTGCTGTGCAAAAACTTTTTAGTTTGATGTAGTCTCAATTGTTTGTTTTTTCTTTTGTTTCCCTTGCCCAAGGAGATACATCAGACAAAAAAAAAATGTTGCCATAATCAACATTTTACTGCCTATGTTTTCTTCTAGAATTTTTATGATTTTGAGTCTAAGATTTAAGTCTTTAGTCAATTTTGAGTTTATTCATGTATATGGTGTAAGAAGGTGGTCTAGTCCCCCCGCCCCCCTGCCTTTTTGTACATTTCTGTCCAATTTTCCCAACACCATTTATTGACTAGGCTATCTTTACCACATTGAGTGTTCTTGCCTCCTTGGTCAAATATTAATTGACCATACAGGCATGGTAAACACACACACAATATACAGATGATGTATTATCGAATTGTACACCTTAAATATATGTAATTTTATTAACCAATGTAACCCCAATAAATTCAATAAAAAATAAATGGGAGAGTATCTGTAAAGTGCTTATTCTGTTACCCATCTCTCAGAAAGCACAAAGTGGACAATTGTCATCATGGCATTCTTTTCCCCCATTTGAGACCACAGCACTTGGGATTAAGAGCTGAGCTACTTACTCTGAAAAGAAGTTTCGCCTACAAGTAGGCAAGAAGAAAAATGCACATGGAAGTTACTTGTAAACACTACCTCTTCTCTCCTTACCCCCAATTCTCCCCATAGTGACAGTTCTTCATTTCAGCCTCCAGGTTGACATGTGTACTCCAGTTACAGGTTGTCAACTAAAATCCAGATGGGGATGGAGAACCTTGTAAATTCGAGGCCTAAGAATGTCTAGTTGCAAAAGGTTATAGCATCATGGTGAAGACTAAGCATGGACTTTTTGAACTGAGACCTGAACAGGAATCACTTGCCCTTTCACCACTTAGTCTTAAGTGATATGGCCAATTTAACCACTTAGAACTTGCTTTCTTGTTTATACAAAGAGGATAATATTTAATTGAGTGGTTACAAAGATTAAATGAGAGAATATGTATATCTGAAGTGCTTAGCTGGCAAAGAGTAGAAGTTCAATTCATCACTATTGAATCCAATTCAAAAAATGCCAGGTAACAGCAGTTTTTTTGGTGCACTGAAACTAGCAAGTAAGTTAAAACTATAATCAAAAGATGCCCTAACCCAGTGGTTCTCAACCTTCCTAATGGCGCGACCCTTTAATACAGTTCCTCATGTTGTGACGACCCCCAATTTCATTGTTACAAATTGAACATAATTAAAGGATAGTGATTAATCACAAAAACAATATGTAATCATATATGTGTTTTCCGATGGTCTTAGGCGACCCCTGTGAAAGGGTCGTGCGACCCCCAAAGGGGTCGCGACCCACAGGTTGAGAACCGCTGCCCTAACCGGTTTGGCCCAGTGGATAGAGTGTGAGCCTGGGGACTGAAAGGTCCCAGATTCGACTCTGATCAAGGGCATGTACCTTGGTTGCGGGCACATCCCCAGTAGGAGGGGTGCAGGAGGCAGCTGATCGATGTTTCTCTCTCATCGATGTTTCTAATTCTCTGTCCCTCTCCCTTCCTCTCTGTAAAAAATCAATAAAATATATTTTAAAAAAAGATAAGCTCTGCAAACCAACATTAGTGAATATACATTCTGCTTAATAAGGTAAACATTTCAACAGGCTTATGGACCTGTGACCACAGTTTACCTAATTTGCCTATTCAGACTTCTTAGTTTTTCATAAGAATTATGGTACCAGTCAGGCAAGATGCACACTACTTAAAATGAGTAATTTTATACTAAATGAGCTGCTTCTAGGATGGAAAGGGGAGAGGGGGAGAATCAACTTTTTGATAACATGTAAATATTACTATGATGCGGGTCCTATTAAAGCCCCCCCCCTTTTTTTAACAAAGTGGGGAACAGGATAAGGACAAAGTGGGTGAAGGAAGCAATAACTGTCAGACAGAATTTGATGGCAGGTCTGTCTGAGATAGGCTGCCCATCGTTTTACCCTCTTCTGTTGGCAATGACCAGTTTCTCAGGTTTATTCAAAAGCATTCCTCCTAAATGGGGTTCTCAGGGAGCCATTGTTGAGCTAAAGATCATTTACTGCCATTCCACGGCAACAGGATTTTAGTTATGAGGGTTGTGAAATTTGGCTGTCTTCTTGCTTTTCCAGGGGTGCTAAAAAAAAAAAAAAAGCATTAGCCACTCCATTACACTGACTACTGCCTGCCCGCTTGAAGCACACGCGGTGGATTAATTTATGATTCACCTTCCCTTTCCTGTTTTGATGGAACACGGAGACTGAACCATTCCTGTCAATAAAAAGCTCGAGTTTCCGCCCCGCAAATTCGCTCTATGATGACAGTCTAATTGGCGGCTGGCGCGCAGGTGGGATTTCCTGTCGCCATTTTAAGGAAACACAACTCCCCTGCAAGGAAGTGCCCAGTCAATGAAAAGGGGCTGAAACAAAGAGTAAGCGAAAGGGAGCCGGGCCCGGTTGTCCAGTCCCCTCCATCCTGCTCCCGGCCCGCACCGCCCCACGGACGGGAAGCGCCCCTGCCCAGGTCCCTCCAGCGTGTCCAGCGCGCGGGGCGGAGTCACGTGGGTGGCCAGGCTGGGGGCCCGCGCGCCCCTTCGCGCCCAGGCAGGTGCGCGCCGCAAGCTCAGCAAATCCTTTCGGTCTAGTGAGTCACACCCAGTCCCCAAAGCGCCGCTTCCGAGGACAGGTCTCCGCGGGGCGCCGAGGTCCGCGCTGCAGGTCCCGGAAGAGGGGAGGCTCCTCCCACTGCGGGTTAGAGACAAAGGCTTTCCCAAGGTGCCCCGCTGCCCCGACACTTGCGCCCCCTTCACGCCCACCTGGGCGGTCTCGGTGCGGTCCCCGGAGCCATTGCACCGCTCCCGCGCCGGCCGCAGCTCCAGGCGCTGCGCGAGGACCCGCCACTCCCGCGGCTATCCTCCACTCCGCGCCCTTCCCACAATGCCACTCCCCTCCCTCGGCCCCGTGGCTGGCCTCTGGCGCACCCCAAAGTGCGCCCTCCTCTCCTCCTCGCGCCCCGCCACCTGCGCCCCCCGTTCCATACCCAAGGGTTCCCAGTCTCCAGTCACCGCCACAACCCGGTTCTGGACTCAATGCCGGGCTCCAGGAGGGCGTGAGGCAGGTGTCCAGGCTGCGCGCAGCCTCTGCTCTCACTGCGACCGTCGATGCGCTGGGCATATGCGTACCCCGCACCCCCTCCCTCACCCCTCTCCCGATGTTCAGCCTCCGCCAGCCGCGATCGCTGCATCCTCAGCGAGCGGCGAGAGGGAGGCAGCAGGCTCGGGCACCAACAGAGACACCGTGTGACGGGCACTGCTCCGTGGTACTCAGCTTTGGTTAAAGAGCGGGCGCGCGGGAGGGGAGGGAACGGCGCGCTGGACGAGGAGGAATGGCTTAACTTTCCACGTTAAACCTTCACGAGCCATGGATGAGCGCGGGCGACGCGGCTCCCAGTAGGAGGATGACGGCGATTGGAGACCCTCAGCTCCCGAGCGTGTCGCAGTAAATCTGAAATCCGCCCCTAGAGGAGGAGAGCTAGGGGAGCGCGGGCTGAGGCAGCCACGCTGCTCTGTCTGAAGGTCGCCGGGAACCGCCGCCCTTCACCTTCCTCGGAAATCAGCCATACCCCGCCAAGGCTCCCCGCCCGGCGCTCGCAGACAGAGGCCACGTTCTTCCGGCCCAGGCAGCTAGACCTTGACACAAAGGACATCACACCGCCGGGGATAAGATCCGGAAGGGAGGACACCTTGACTTCTCACCCTGTGACACTTTTCCCTTTATTGGCCAAGGTAGGGTGACTTTCCTGGCTCGAGAGAGCCAAGGGCGCGGCAGCGGAAGGAAAGGGATGTCGACGATGTGCGGGGAGGAGGCGGTGACATAGAAGCCCTCCGTGCGGGCCTGGAAGGAAGGGGTGCGTGGCTGTGCCGGATGCATTTGGTTTTTGCTTTGGGGAAAGGGAAAGCCCAGGTCTCCTGTTGTTCCCAATGCACGTGGCAGCGTGAGGAGGCTCAAAGAGTCTTGGTTTCACCTTCCCGCGGCGGTGGCATACTTTTGGTTCCGTTTTCATGGTGGGAGCGCGTGGCGCCCGACCTGGTTAAGTTGCACGAGGGGCAGGGACCTCGCAGGGCTGTCGGGAGAGCGCAGCCGATGCGAGGGCGCGACTGCATACCCGAGCAGTGTTTGCATCCTGGGCATTGGGGCAATTTCCTGTGTCCGTAGGGCCCAGAGGAGAGTGTGTGATGCCCCGAGGGTGTGCGGGTGAGGGTGTGCGGGCGGCCGGCTGGGTTTCCAGGACTGGCCTCGGAGCGCGAGTAAACCGGATCACATTTGCCGCCCCTTGCTCTAGCTCTGCCCATCTCAGTAACGGAGAGGAGGAGGAGGATGCCGGGGCAGGTGACTAAAGGATGCTAGCAGTGGTCACTGTCCTTTCCCGCCCTGAAGAGGTTCTTTCCAAAATCGAGGAGGGAGGAGGAGAAAGGTGCTGGTCTGGGAACCAGGGTCGCTGGAGCTGGCGAACAAAAGGCCACCGCTTGCGCGTGGCCTGGGTTCGGACTGTCTCGCTTCCACGCCACCTCCTCGCCCCATCCCTAAATATGTTGCCACAAAAGGCCTTTAAACTGGCCGCGGTGCCGGGAGGAAAGCGCTCCCCAGCCCTAGTGTGCGTCCCGGAGCCCCCCCCCCCATCCTCCTACCAGAGCGTCGGGCTCCTCTGCACCCACTGGGACCCCACACCATCCGGGGCTGCCTGGGCGCTGCTCCCCTGCGGAATCTCCCGCCCTTGGATTTGGGCAGAACTGTAGTCAGAGGAGGTTTAAGTGCATATGGCGGCAAAAGGAATTTCGCGGTAACAGCGTCCCGGCGTTTCCGGTGCCTTTTACAGGCTGCCTTGAGCTGGGGAGGGTGGTGCTACCGTTGGGAGCCCTTTGTGTCTCGCTCTGCGGCGCAGACCCAGTTTTTATCGCACCTATGGACCTGACATCTCTGCGGTGGGTTAAAATTTTTTTTTTTTTTTTTTTTTTTTTTTACCCAGTTTTAGTGGTTTTTTAGTATAAGAGGGAGGAGAGACTAAATCTACGGATTGCAGACTGCAGGGCCCAGCAAGGCTGTAATTTGTCACCTTGATGGAAGAAATTGTGCAGTAACTCGTGCTTGTTCTGACGTCAGAGAGGCAACGGAAAGAAAACCTGAGCTAGGTGGCTGCCTGCCCTCATTGTTACTAAACATCTCACGCAGGGTTGGGACCCTTGAAATCAATGTGAATCGGTGGGACCCGGCACTAATCCCTGTGGGCCCCCTGGATTTTCGTTCACCCCCAACCTCAAATGGTTTTGCTCTTCAGTCACTTCAGTTCTCAGTCTGTCCCTTAGGCATCGGGAAACCCATCTAGTTTGGTTGGAGGTCTTAACCTTGACGAGGGTTTATTCCCTTTTTAAAAAGCACACCACATATTCAATAAATACTTGGGCGTCGGGGAGGGGCTTATTTTGTGGCTGGCAGCAACTAACAAGACAGTTCCTGTGAGGCTTTTATTCTGGGGGGCAGGGAGGAGACAGGCAATATATGCATGTATAAACCGCTTTCAGATATATGTAAGAGCACTGCACTGGAGAAGCAAAGCAGGGTCATGTGGGAGGGAGCGAGGAGGGTGCTTGTGGTAGATGACCCTCTAGGAGCGCCTGTGAGAGGGTGACATTTGTCCTGAGACTCAGAGATCAGGCATCTCTCTCTATTGCTAGTCCTGTCTTTTCCTCACTCTGGATGGTACCTGAGGCCAAAACCAATCTACTCATCATTGTTCCTCTAATGTCCAGCAGAGTAGCTGCTTAATAAAATGCCCGTTGTATTGAGATCTTGGCCAGTCTTCGTCTCATTCACCTCTTTATGCTAGTGTTGACCCCCCCCCCCCTTCTTTTCTACATCTCATTATTTGTTCTCCTTCTTCTAGGTTGAAACCTTAGTCTTTTCCTAGTCTGCTTCTCGCGTTCTCTCTTACCCTCTCCTCATTTCTGAGCAGCTGCCAGGCCCTTGCAAATGCCCCTCAAACCTGTTTTCTCATCCCCAGTCCCAATGTCCAAGTTCAAGTCCTCTGTCACCTGACCTAGACTTGGCGATTCAAGTAGGGTGTTGGGATACAAGAATCATGAAACAGACATGGGGGTGCCCTGAAGAAACCAGGAAGTCCTTCCCTGGGGAGGAAGATGCAAGCACAGCACGTGGCTAAAAAGTAAAGTGGCTAATTGATGAGCTATAACAGCTTTCTAGCTGGTCTTCTCCACGTCAAGCTCCCTTAATTCAATCTCGACACTTCCATGAGATCTGTATTTCTAAAACAATTTGCATTTTTTACAGGTAACTTTAAAATATATATATATAATTGATTTCAGAGAGGAAGGAAGAGATAGAAATATCAATGGTGAGAGAGAATCATTGATTGACTGCTTCCTGCACGCCCCACACTGGGTGGGGATCGAGCCCACAACCCGAGCATGTACCCTGACCAGGAATCCAACCATGACCTCCTGGTTCCTAGGTCCATGCTCAACCACTGAGCCACACCATCCACTGATTTCAGAGAGGAAGGAAGAGGAAGGAAGAGATAGAAATATCAATGGTGAGAGAGAATCATTGATTGACTGCTTCCTGCACGCCCCACACTGGGTGGGGATCGAGCCCACAACCCGAGCATGTACCCTGACCAGGAATCCAACCATGACCTCCTGGTTCCTAGGTCCATGCTCAACCACTGAGCCACACCATCCAGGCTCAGTTTGCACTTCTTAATGACCTTGCTTCTAAAAATCTTTAGTGGGTTCCCATTGCCCACAATTAAAGTATAAAATCCTCTGCCAGGCACTCAGGACCCTCCACAGTCTGACTCCTCACCTCTCTCCATCTCTTTGTCCCAGTTCACCTTGTGCCCTCCCTGTCACTTTTCTGCCTCAATATCAGTGTTGATTCCAGACTGGAATGCCTACTGAAATTCTATATATTTGTGAAGGCCTAGCCCAATGCCAATTTTCTACCTCTTTGAATATGTTCACTGATCACCTTTTAGCATTTTCACAAAGATTTGTTTACCTTCTATCATCTAAAGGTGATTTAAAGTATATGGGAAGATGTGTGTAGGTGATATACAGAAACTATGACATTGTACATAAGGGACTTGAGCTTCCATGGATTTTAGTATCCACAGGGGTTCTGGAACCAATCCTCTTAGGATATCAAGGGATGACTTGTTCCAGGTCTTAACTTTCCAACCTAGGGACGTTGGCTAAGTTGTTTAGCATCTCTAAACCTCAGGGTGCTTTGTTTGTTTGTTTGTTTAATGGAAATAATGATCATAACGATGATGATGGTGGCAGTAGTGGTACCCATCTTATTGAGTTATCCTGAAGATTTAATTAAGATAATGGATGTGAAGTGCTTGGCATGGTGTTAGCATTCCATCTATATTGAATTAAAAGGAACTTTGGGTTTCTCACCTATCCTAGGGAGTGGGGAAAGTTGATCAGTCAAGTTCCCCTTGCCTCTGTTATTTTATTACTCTCTAATCATTTAAAAATGCTTTTCAGAAAATAATATCTGAGGGAAACTACCCGAATCTTTTCAATCTGGGGGAATATACATCTGTGAAGGGTGGTGTGGGGGTGAGGAAAGTATGTGTGTGGAAGTAAGAACATTCAAAATCACATCATAGATTTAAAAAAAACAAAACAAAAAACCACACCTTGAAACATTGACCCTAAACTGAGTCATTGTTATACTTACTTTTGAAATTTAAACACATTATATTAATTGGTTTTCTAGGGACCACCTATGTGTCAGGAATTTAGTGATTAGGAATGCCCCATGGTTTGGGGAAACTGCAGGCACTGGGGACTTGGTCTCAAGTGAAGTTACCATGTGTCTTTGCCAATAATTAACTGGGTGCACTTGGGCAATTCGTTTTACATTTTTATGCCTCATTTATCATGTCTAAGGCTAATAATAGTATCTGAGCTGCCTAACTCAGAATTGTGAAGATAAAATGAGAACGGAATCTAGAAAATCCTTGAGCAAGTTAAAGGAACTATAATCATCTGAGGTTAAACCACTGCTAATGTTTATTTTTTTATTATTATTTTTTTAAACATATTTTATTGATTTTAGAGAGAAACATCAATGATGAGAGAGAATCATTGATTGGCTGCCTCCTGCACGCCCCCTAGTGGGGTTTGAGCCAGCAACTCAGACATGTGCCCTTGGCCAGAACCCAGCCTGGGACCCTTCAGTCCACAGGCCGACGCTCTATCCATTGAGCCAAACCAGCTAGGGCATCACACTGCTAATGTTTAGAAGATGGGTTTAGATTAGTGACTCTCAACTCTGCCTTCACATTGGTCTTACCTGGGGTCTTTTTAAAGCTTTGAATGCCCAGACTCCATTTCCAGAGATTCAGATTTAGTTAGCCTGGGTAGAGCCAAGACATGGGAGTTAAAAAGCAAACAAACACAAACTCATCAAACACCAGGGATAATTCTAGTATGCAGTGGTTTGGAATTAAAAGCAGAAAAAACAGAATCAGAAATTACATGAAGACCTCCATATGTCATTTGATAAAATCGTAGTAATGTGAAATCATGATGGCTTTTCCCTTGACTCAACTAAAGACTCAACTAAGCCAACCAGTTGTTGACATCATGGAGCCACAGCCTCAGGTTACAATTTATAACCTGAATTTCCCCAATATAGAAGCCTGTCCAGTGAGTGATACAACCGCAGCGGCATAAAGATTTAATGTGTGGGATCT